ACATACAACCAGGATATAGACTCACATACAAATAATCCCGCCCTACACTACATGATGTGAGATATACACACATACAACCAGGATAAAGACACACATACAAATCATCCCGCCCTACACCACACGATGTGAGATATACACACATACAACCAGGATATAGACACACATACAAATCATCCCGCCCTACACCACATGCCACACAATGCGAGATATACACACATACAAACTATCCTTCCCAATATCTATACACAGATACATCTACCCTCCCTACACCACACCAGTTATGAAATATACACATACAAGTCCTCCCTCCCTGCATCACACAATGTGCTTTATAGATACATACAAATCATCCCACCCTACACCACACAATGTGACATATACAAACACATACAACTATCCCTCCAAACACCACACCAGCTGTGAGATATACTACAAATATACAACCCCACCCATACATTACACCATCCTGAGACTCCAAAATTTGTAACCAGATAAAAAGAAATACAATTTAAAGAACATCAGTTCTACTAAACATTGTCTCAATACTAGCTAGACAAAAGCTATTTGATTTCTAAGGACAACACATTATACATACATTTTGGTCAATGATTCATTCAATTATAGGTAACTGAATCACCCAACGTCAGCTTGTAAAATCCAGTGTAAAGTGATAATAGCTATTTTGATCACACATAATGTTTTTCTTTTTTTTTTTGCATATTTATATCTTGTTACATAATGCCCAGTGAATAGAAAGTTTTCAAAGGGAATAAATTATAAACAGAACTGAAGTGTGTGTGTAATAAATCCAATTCAAACTAATACTTTCCACCGAAGAAATTTGGCAAATGTTCAACAAATAAAAGCATTTTCTGACTAGAATATTATGGGAGAGACACAACAATACGCAAGTACACAAGTGGGGCAGGCAAATTTTACACAATCAAGCCTTCAAATTTCTCTTCTACTTCCCTATCTTTGCTACTACCAACCTTGTAGCTTATCTGACATTGTCATAAACACAATTAAACAAGTACTTGGCAAGTTTCATTTAAAAAACATTTAACATATCATACAAGTATTCAGCCATTTATCCAAATGCAGACTACAAATTTTGTCGTACTTAAGTATCTTTTATTTTGTATTTCCTCTAATAGCCTGTATATGCCATGGCAAACCACTTTATTTATATGGGGACACTCCCACCTTTACACTTACTTATAAATAGATGTTTCAACATTTTCTGTAGGCTACACATCCCTCTATAAATAGCCTGATGCAGAGGCTGGGCCAAGTTGCCATACAGCCATCATGTTCTACCACATTTGAGGCAAAGGAGAACATTCCAATGGTTGTGCACATCACATGATCAGCATCAGTCTGCAGTGATAACATCTTATCAAGCAGAGATAATGATGGACTTTCAAGTGATTATCAACAGATTGTATTGGTATGACAACATGGCTTCATCTTTCAGAGTACCCCTGTAATTACCATAATAATATTGCAGTAGTGTAAATAAAAAATAGATCTTACAATCCCTGTCAACCTAAAAAAAATGCAATGTTTGTGCGAAAATGTAAATTTCTACTGCTGCTCCATTTTTGCTCAACTATTTTTATGTATGTAAGCCATTAGGATAAGTACTGTAGATGTATTACTTCAAAACTATCCTCTATACGCCCTTCTCCACTTGGCTGGTAACATAAAACCATCCATCTCCAATTATATGTTATCATCACAGCATGGAAATATATATATATACACCAGGGAATGCAGAAAATACCAAATCAGATTCTATAAAACTAAGTCAGCATTTACAAAAGATTTTATATTCATTTTTTCCTTGAAGTCCAGAATATTTTATCTTCAGTAACTGGCTGTAACACGACCTCCACAGTTGGCCATTAAATCATCTTGAGAAGAGTTTGGCTGTACATACTACCTTTAAACTAAACATTTAACGTCTCAAAATTTCAAAAATATTTTGGCCTATTCCATAACAATATGGGGAAAAAGTGAATGAGCTACGAAACATTTTAGGTAGCTCAGGTCTGAAATTAAGATCAGTTGAGTGAACACTCAGTGGAGACAAATTTGTGTAGAATGCTTGTATTATATGCTTGGACATGGCTGTCTACACAAACTAATGCCCCATCAGATACTATTCATCAGGCATAGGCCATCTGGTATTCAGGCCCCTTTCAACAGGACAGTTTGGGGAGTTGCCACTACTATCCCCATTAAAGGGCAGCCTCCAAGTTACCTCTGCTTTCTCACAACAGTCAGTAAAATACCTCTGCTTTCTCACAACAGTCAGTAAAATACCTCTGCTTTCCCAAATAACAGAACAGTCCCCAAGTAACTCCTGCTTTCCCAAATAACAGGACAGTCGTCAAGTTACTCCTGCTTTCCCAAATAACAGGACAGTCGTCAAGTTACTCCTAGTTTCCCAACAGTCTATTCCTTGACTGTATTGTTCCAGAGTGTGTGGACCCATCTCTATTAATTGCTATGGTTTGTCACCTCTTACAATTTTTCTGATTTCTTTATATTTCAGGATTATTACCTATAAAATCATTTCAGTACAGTATATCATTTTTTTAAAGACTGTTTGCACATGAAACTAATTCTGAGATTAAGAAAAGAATCTTAGTTTTAAAACTGCAATTATGATTAAATTTGTCTTGAAGCTATGACACAGGGAAATTTACTATGCAAACATCTCAGGAAAACTAATTTATTTTCAGTATTTAATGATACTGGGTAGAGTTGATCTGTCTAGATGATGGAAGTGTGTCAGTGAAATAACAGAATTATACTGAGAGCAACTCTCCACATACACCATCATCTAATGTTTATTGATTTCCATGTCACAGATTGCCATACATTTCATAGACTTTCCCATGGGAAGCTATCAGAGCACAATGTGTTGTCCATGGATGCATACCATACAGAACCATCTGTTTGTCATCTCAGAAACAGTACTGTTCCCTTCATGCCAGTCTTCATTCACAGTTAAAAATTCTAAATCTGAAACTTCTTATCCCCTGGAAAAACATCACTGATCTACACAGTTCATTACTTTTCAAAAGAATTCCATTCTCTGAAGCAGTTTAATGTAATATGGAGCCATCAGAGTAATGCATTATTAACCAGCCTGAGTGTGAACTTGTCAAAGTACCTAAGAATGAACCTGCCGTCAAACGTAATATGAAACAGTGTAACATATTATTCAGTCTAAGTATGAACTTGTCTAAATATGCTCAAATGAACCAGTCAAACAATATATGAACAATTCTGAGTAAGAACAAGTCAAATATAATATGAACAATTTTATGTAATGCAAGATGAACTAAAAATAAGCATTAATGTAGGACAGGTGTTGCACAAAATAATATAATACATCATCAGCACATCTTTGTCATTTTATCCTTGACATTTTAAAACAATTAAAGCAAGAAAATGCAGACATTTAAAACAATCAATTGACTTATAGTACATTTCTAGTAAAATTTCTTCCTGACAACATTAAAAACTCAATATTTTTATTACACAAGCAGAATTCTAGCCTGTTAGGCTGTTCTTACTCAGGTATAGCAGACGACAAACAGACCTGCTACCTCTGAGCTTTTCCAATTTCATGACTCACTTGTCATAAAACTATTCATTATAACCCTCATACACTTTTCATAACATTTCTCCCCCACATGTCCTCAGGTATGCCACACAACAGACAATGACACCACATGATGACTCATGTTTTTTAAAAAATTTGTAATATTGCTCAGTGTAAACGCAGAAATCTCAAATTTGTTCAACAACACACTAGTATATTGATTTTTTTTATGCAAACAGTCCAAACTGACTTGTGACAAGTGTTACATGTCAGCCACCTGGCGTCAGAAAATCACCTTGACTCCCTCATTTATTCACTGCATGTAGTGTGTGTGAAATGTTCTACTTTAAGCCAGGAGATAACAAACTTCAGTACATTACTGGAAAAAATAAGACTGTCAGGTCTAGATTTAAACGCAAACATATTGAGATTACATTTAGTTTACCTTCCCGGTCTCACCGAGTACAGGATAACCTATCAGACAAAATATGCTGATGTCATCAACAAATCTATACAAGGATTGATGCAACCATCGAAATTTTAAGACAGGTTTCATGCCATATGAAGCAAGATTTACCAACGATACCGGGCAACATATCAATCCAGTGATAAATTAGAGGGAAGATTTTACTGACGCAGCAACACAAATATAGCCTTTGTGGAAGAGTAGTGAATGGCAGACCTATCTGATAGTAATAACGATTGCCACAGCCTTCAAATCAATATATAGCTGGGATTTGTACATGGAGTTCTCTGCTAGCAGTTATGTAAATATAAGCTCACAAAACCGGCTTTCAAACGAAATCAAGACCAACAGCATTAAGTTAAAGAATCATGAATCAGTCTTTGTCTGAAGTAAAAATCACCTCACACATTCAGATACTCTGGATAAAGTTTTATTAAATACAAATTATAATGATTCTCCAGGATATTTGACACATAAATAAAAATTTCATTATAATGTCAAGACACTTAGTCTTTACCTCAGCAATATGTAAGAACTAAACCAAGAAGCCATGGTAAGAAGGCTGTTTAAGTAACTAATCATATCTGGATTTCTCAACATGCAGCTGGAACCCAGAGGAGGAAGAAATGACATCTGTTATATCTTTGCTATACAAGATAGATTAGGTCTGACTGCTCTCCACAATAATGATGCAATTCAACAAGTTAAATATTCAAATACACAACTTGCCACAGAAAGGATCTTATTTTTTTTTTTTTTTTTGTGCAGACTACTTTGAAGTTTTAACTATAGTCTGGATGTTTCCAGTATACCTTTCTTGCACTGCTGTGGTGTGATGGTACAAATATGATATCGCTGCAATTCATAAATAACACCAGATCCCTGATAAGTGCTGTGGATGTCATGCACACTTACCTGTGTTTGTGGATGATGGCGTTGAAGGCCAGGCCGTCCCTCCAACTTGTTGTGAAGTTTCGCACATTCACATTAGGGTATCCCGCAGTCTTCATCTGGCACCATAGCAGCAGCGCATCCTTAGCTGACTTAGTTTCACTATTATCCGTTTCTTCTACTGTTATGTCTTGGATCTTAAGAAATATTTAAAGTTTATTAGACATTACTTCATAGAATACTCTAAAAGAGTGCTCAAATTTCAGAAATTGTTCATATATTGGGGGGGGGAATCCAATTGATATGTTCATATATATAACATTTACATATGTTTACATAACTGTAGAACTATGTTCCTTAAGCTATAATTAAGTGTACCTGGAATCTTAGGATGATTGTCCAAATTAAACCTAGGGTCAATCGAGAGCTTCCGTCAACAATATCGTGGGCACCCATATTTTCAAGATGGACTTTCTGTTCATGTAAAAACTGGAGGGCTTTATCCACATTCTCTAAACAATGAATCCTCATCTTCCCTTTTGTTGGTCGTGGCTGTGAAGAAAACATCACAATTTACATCAGTGTTTCCCTACATTAAAAATATTAATACTACAACAAACACCCATTCCTAGAATATTACAACAAAATTTCAATTTTATTTAGCAACTTTCACTTCCAATTGAGAAAAAAAATGTTTCCTTGTGTTTGAACTTAAAAATCTCAATACTTACGAGGCGTTCTCCAGACAAGACCTCTAGCAGTTTCATCAGCATCTTTCCGTCTCTTAAGTCTATGTATAGGTCGGAGATACGACATCCATAGCGAATCAGATGAGAATTCACCCATTTTTGGAAAGTTTTTTTCTGCACAGACTCTCTTTCATCTGCAAATAAAAAGTTGAAAAGGATATAACAGCCTTAAATCAGATCCATATGGTAAGGAGACCCAATATCCAGCAACAGTTGCTAAAGACAACAGTCCTCCCTTAGAGCTATATTAATATACATAAATTACGTAGAATATCAGTGTCACTTCAAATGCTCTGATCTGTTTTGTTGTTATTTATTGGTGTAAAACAAGTGATGAACATTGATTCCATACAAGATAAATGAATGCATGTAATCCATCAACAATTATAATCATTTTAATACATACACTACACAAGTGGTCTTGTGACCTTGATGGTCACCTGAAGTACCAAAAAAACCTGCTTAATGTGCGCTGGTACTTTTTTGAGCTGAAAATGGTGAAAAAAAGCTTCTACTTGCATAATGTGTGCACTCAAAAATTCTGTCAAAATTGATCTCCGGTAGCCAAGAAATCAATCTTGGAATGTTCATCTCACACTTCACACCAACAATATAAAATCTGAAGTGATCTAAATACTTTAGTAAACTTCAACCCCTCCTTAGCAAGGAATGTGAGACTTTGGGGCCATGAAATTCTCAATTTTGGTAAAGCACCAAGACCCTTCCATCCATGAAGAGCACTTGATTTTACCATATTTGGGTGATGAGAAGAAGATTTTTGAAATCTGAGTCAATTAGACTGCTTTTGGCCCTCAGGCCCCTGAGGGGTGGAGACTGCATAATTGACTATTTTGGTTCATCTCTGGCTAGGGAAGGTTTTCTGCAAAGTTTCAATGAAATAAATTCAGAGGTTTTTGAGAAGCCGAAAATGTTAAAAGTTTATGGATGCACCCAGCCAGACAAAAGGCAATCACAATTACACTTGATCACAGCATTTCTCTGATATCTGAATCAATCCTGAACTCAGCCTTTAATCATCTTTGTAATTTTGGAATTAATTAATTTGTTTCATTTCCATAATCAAGCCATTTTTTATCTTAAATTATCCTATCACTAGTAAAAAGCTTAAAAGTAGTAACCTAAATAAGGAAATATTGAATATGCTTCAGAATAGAACGTTTCAGGTGACAACTCTAGTGTTTCAGGTGAAAACTCTAATGCTCCCTATGACAACAAACCTGCTGAATGAGTGAGTCATAAAAACAGTATCAATAGCATTGTCAATCCTAACAGAATCCCATCATAGCTGGAGTATTTTATATTTATCAAATCTATGCACAACTGGTAACTATATTTTGTCTATGGTTAGTAATCTTTATTCAATATCTACCTGAAGCCTGCTAACCATGTGAGCCATGTTATGTTAACAGTTTGCCTTTAGTATGTATGGTAATTAAACAGCTACTAAATAAGCTGGCCAGACATGTATCATCAGACAATGTCAAGGACAAATGTATATATATTAACAGCAACAAAATTAATTAATTTATAGGTGCATCACACAGTCCAATAGATACCACATTTATCTTACATGCATTACATCATGTATCTCTGAACTATGACAACGCTATAAAGACACCACCATTTACCTGCTAACTGTTTAATTTTGTCCCGAATCCCCTTTTCCTGAATGTCAATAGCCACACGATTTGACATGCTTGTTCCAAAATCTAAATCCCTATCCAAAATGTCACGTTTTTTTTTTGCAGTCATGCAAATATCAATATGGCGACATAAGTCCACACACCCTGAGTGATTGTCCTTCGACTCTCAGGTTACACTGCCCTTCAAACTATATCCACATAGTAAAATTATGCATGAAATTGTTTATGTATATATGCAAGTTTAAACTCTTAAGTTTTCCTGTGACACACATACATGTCCTTCATGGTATCTCGATAAAACAGAAACTTCCGTGGTAATCCTGACAACTTCCTGTGGCAGTAAAATATTTATAAAATACACTTCTCTGCACACATTAACTCAGTGAAGAAAACAAACACCCTCCAACAGACTTGCCATGAATGAAAAAGATTTTTTAGATGATGAATTGATAAGCAGGCAATCTAAACAATGAGACATTCTACACCATTATCTGCTGTGGACATTGCTCTGTAGGACAGTCAAGGTTACACTACACAATCTGAAAGACCTAGAAATCGGAGATAAAGGACAGGGGCTTCAGAACTTCAGAACAGAAAAGACCTGTGTGAGGCATGACATTGGATAACCTGGATAACTTTAGTCTAAGGAGTAAACAGATGGGACATTTTTAAAGGTATGTTCATTTTAATTATTTTAACAGAATTTATTTACATCAATGTAAACAGAAAACTTTGTCATGTGCAACAGCAAGCTGAATAACATGTATCATTTTCTATGTGTTTAATACTCAATGACAGGGGAGATAATATATTTTCCTGTTTACAGATTTTTTTTCTGTGTAGCGAGCACCTTTGCCTAAACATGTCTAATAAACCACCCTTAGCAAACAGGTTAAATACTTATCATCACTTGATTTATAAACATTATTGTAAAATTTTCTAAATCATTCAAGTTATTTTCTTATTCAAGTTAGCAAAATCAATGTTTTACTTAAGAGTATTTACATTTCCTTGCTAAATAACACTAAATAAAAGTCATGATATAGGTACAATTACCACAGGTTTTTCATTGCAAGAAAAATTTGCAATAAATCCATTCCAAAGCCAGCAGGCATTAACAATATTAAATGTTATTCTTTTCCTATAACCAACATTAACATTGACAAGAATTTCATTGTTAGAAATTAATAATACTTCTCCATAGCCTACTTCCTGCAGAGACTGGCAAGCTTGTCTGCTTTATTATTATGACAAGTACCTGAAAATCTTCCCTTCTTTTATTATTTCAAACCTGAAAATTTAACACAATGCTCTAAAAAGAATTATTAAGCTGAGAAGGTACTATAGTCAATTTGTTTTCTGGGTTTATATAACTATCATCCAGTCAACAAACGGGGTCATTTTGAGGCGGTGTCTCCTTGTTGTAGCTGGTGGCATCGTGTTACAAAATAAAACAGGAAAGAAAGATCGCATTACAACCAGAGCAATTGGATCTAGATCGGAGGTTGTGTAGGCCAACACTATAGCAAGGGAGCTATGGCTGACTCTGGTGTCAGCCAAGGAGCTCCACGGTCACCTCCACTCTATCATTACATCATCACTTTCTTTTACAATATTACTGTCATCATTTTAATTTTTTAATTCCCTGATTTTTAGATTTAAGGACATGATATTGTAAATATATCCATCTATTCAATCATTAACACTGATCAACCATCTCACAATTAAAGAGGATATTCTCAATTCATCCTTACTTCATTCAGATCAAGAAAATTCATCTCCCAAGGTCAGTACATTGTGACCATGTTGAAATGTCCACTCTTATGATTAAGTAGATTAGGATTATGTCCCCCTAATCCTATTACACCGACCTACTCAACCATGTAATGACCCACTAACCAAGCAATTGATACACCAAATAGTGATGTGGACAGAGCTGATAGCTTTTCCACTTTAAATGGCACAGAGAATTCATTTTGTTTTAAACATGATTCATACCTACTTCCATTAATACAAGCTTTTCATTCTGATTCAGTAACACCACAACATTCTAGCTTTTGTAGGTGGGATTTGTAGCACCCATGGTCTAGTGATTTAAAAAATTGTCATCTCCATAAACAGCATGTTTATTAGTAAACTGATACCTGTCCTTTATTATCAGGAATGTCCCTGGACAATTTTTTAAACCATCTGGTAATTTCATTTAAACTAGCATAGGTTGAACATACATTTTACTATTACAATGGTATTATTGTTGTAAAGTACCTCTAGATTAAACTGAGAGATTGCAACACAAGTTATTTTTTACCTGTTGGGAGCAGACATTTCTCACTTACTTCACAGAATAAACTCTTCTCAAAAGAGGTAGGAAAAGACAACTACATGCAATATGATGCTACTCGCATTGGGGAAGCGTTACCATTTTATGTTTCTTATCCATGTCACAAATTGGTAACGTCATCAATTTCAACCCATATCTCACAGGATAATATTGACAATGATGTGTTGAAAAGGCTTTTAACAGAATCTTGCATGGGTCTGTCAATTTGATATCAATCTGAGTGCATGAGTTTGGCTGGCTTAAAGATTCTGTTGGTCTTTTTCTATGTATTAAGGAACTAAATGGGAACATATTGTCCTTTTTTTCTAGTTGGAACACTGAAAAATGGCTTCATGACAAAATTATAACAGTGTTTGTGAGAAGCTCCAGCAAGATTGCCAGCATTAAACTTTTGCTAATCAGCAATAGATGTTGTGTTTGACACCATTTGTTATCTTGATTGGAAATGACTGGAGTCTGCTTTCAGTGAAATGTAAAATGTTAGTGGAGCACATTGAAACTTTTATAAACAGGCTAGCATGTTTAATGCATTTTACTGTCCAGTATCCTGTGACCATGCGTATGTAAACCTTTTAGTTTTAAATTTTTCAAATAAACAGGCTAGAAAATACAACATGTAAAATGTATGCAATGCATTTTACAGATTTAATGGATGGGATCTTAAAATTTTACATGATAGTGAACCTGAAAAAGACTATGGAAAGGACTCCATCATTGAAACAGAAACTGATGAATTTGGTAAATTGTAAACCTTAATTAGTTTTAAATTTATAAAAAACAAAAAGTGTCTTCTTAAGAAAAGTGATCCTGTTACCTACCACGAGGGAGCCATAATAGCTCGGTAAGTTTGAGTGTTGACCTATGTAACCTCACTTGAAGATCCAAGAAATAGACTGGTCTGTAATGATGTGGTTGTGTCCTTGAGCAAGACCTTACACTTTTATTTCTCAGAAAACGGTGAGATGGATCTCCCAAATGTTGTTCAATGAGGTAGCCAGCATCTACTATAAAAAGACCCTGCCTCAAAATGACTCTGTCTGTTCATGGGTGAAAAACCCAACAAACAAATATTGTGAACACCTTGATCCGATATGGTATACATTAACGCCATCAAGTGGTGTATATATCTAAACATAACTGCCTAGTCATTAGTCCTGGTCTGATGCTGTATAGATGTGCTACACATATTGAGTGTTTATGTTGGTATAACTTTACCACAAAAACTTAACCACCAAATCCTGCTCCCACTGAATTAAGACTTTATCAGTCACAAATGATCAGCCAACCTCAAAAAATATATTCACAAGATATTTTCTAAATAACAAATTAACTGATGCATAAATCTATACTCTTCAAGTGACATTCCCCAAAAATGTTCATCATTATCTGCAAAACAGATATTAATGTAATACTGCTGTGGTATATTAGAAAATACTAACCTGCTAAAGCCTTAATCCTGGAACGTTCAAAAAGTTTGGAAGAGTTGTTGCCTGCATCAAATTCTTCCTCCATCTGTCCGGGATCCCACCGGACCCCATTACTGTTATAGTTCTCAATCTCAGTCATGGCGGAGGGTCACCACTACCACAACCTCCTACAACAAAATCAGAGTGTTTGACATCAGGAACAGATAGTTACAAGCAAAACCAACATTATAGCATGTCTCATCACACACAGGAGTTAATCATTACTACTCCATCATAGGTTATGGCTAGACAGCCAAGTATTAGGTTATAAAATTTCTACTGTATTGGTCTTCAACACCATATAGTGGACAAATATAAAATAAATCTGATACTGTGGATGTCTTGAAAAATTGAACAGTCACAAGCTTACTATGTCATTCCTTCCATCCTATACATATCTCTTTGCATAAAGTTATTCTACTTCTTAGAGGGAAAACATTCTGAACAACCAATTTATTAACATAGCTGTATAGGAGTCTGCATGCTTTGCCTTATACAACTTAGTCCTGTATCTCTCCACCAGTGTATGCCATGCCCATTATGCCAATGGATATGCATGTCTACACAATACATGTAGTAACCATATTTTGTATATAAAGCACTCGATCAAAGCACTCGATCAATTCTTTCATTGGGAAACACATGAAAACAAGTATTTGATCAGAAAATTCACATGTTTTGCTATATAAAATATTGTGTCGTCCAGACACCAGTGCTTAAATCTCTATGTATTCATCATCACTTTGTGTTGATATTACAGTACAGTCATGGAAAACTGTTTTAATACTCAATCAATGAAAACATAGTAAAAAGCCTGTTTTTTCTACACATGGCTGACTGCATTGTATAAGCCTATCTAGATTGGACAAAACATCCCATAGAGACACACTCCAGTCTGTCATTTTACATGCCACATGATAATGATATATGCACTAACAGAGACTGGTCCACAGGAAGTCAGCATCTGACACCAATTATCTCAATAATGACATATCTACTACTGCAATAATGGCAGTCTTCCGTTACTTCAGACATCACTCAAAACTTTCAAATATCTTGCATAAGGTTAGCATATCTCCAACAGAAGCCAATCATTCATAAACAGCACATATAAAACGAGACAATTAACATGAATTACGCATAAATCATATTTCATATGACAAAACTGATCCTGATCACACTGTCAAAAACGTGTCAGTTCCTAGGGCCTTAGTACCCAATATAAGTTTTTACATTCTACTGCTGATTTTGTAAGCCATAATGATGGGTACAGTAACAATGGAACACACTGCTGGTAAGTAATGCTTCAAGGTTGTTACATCTTCCTAACAGGTCAAGGACATATGTTAACTTAAGATGGAATCCTCATACCTGTCATTACAAAGTTTTCACACTAAAATGTCATATATCTTGACAATATATGACAAAGAAACAAGACACTTCACCAATGACTTTGTCAAATGATAAATGGCTCATTGTAATATCTGTTTACTGTATGTAACACTCTCCATAATACAGCTAAATTTTAAAAATGCAATATCATGTGCCTATGTTATGGCTCCAGCTGTTTAGTATGTTTGTCAGTTTGATGACATTTCAATGTGTCATTTAATTTGTGTCTGCATATTCTAGGGGCTTTTGAGATAACACAACACTACTTGATCGTTGTGAACAACAACGGCTAAAATTTATTTAATGTGGAAAGAGGTGGTACACATCAACCTTATGTCCTATCACATTTAGTGAATACTCTCAGGGTACTTTAGGGGTTCTCACTTTTCTGTTTGATTTGTCTGATGGAATAACAGGCAAGCAGCATGATCATCTAGCCAAGTTCCATCATACATAATAACATAAGCACAAGCTCAATAATATATAACAATGGAAGAACCTATATCTATCCTGTGTATGATTCTTGCAATTGGATTACAACTTACCTACTCAACATCAAAACATACATGGTTCTTACCAAGTCAGCATAATTATTAGAAATATGAACTCCTTTTTCCTTTTCACACTATTATGTATAGATTTCACTAAAAAATGCATACTTCTTCTTAGCTGATGATATTCTTCAAAACAGTATGCCTAATTTGATTAAAGAACATGTTGACTAAAAAGAAATCTTGAAATCAAATTCCCCATGACTATAAATAACAGCTGTACAAGCTTAAGGGTAATACTAATCAGGAGTGTTTTATAGCATTAAAGACCAGTAATCACTGACAATACACAACATGGAAACCCTATTATCCTGAAACACAACACAAGGCCTAATAGATGATATGGACATCAAACCATCTAAATTCTGCACCACAAGCAATTTCTGCTGAAGCAAAGGTTAATACCTGCTTGGTTTAACTTGCATCATTATAATTACTAATGGTCTATTTATGTCTCTTTGAACCATGAATATCTAGAAATTTAAATCCTACAGAGAATAATGCCTGTACCATACCCCTATGTATAATCACTGAAAATGATGCCTATAATATACCCTATATAATCACTAAGAAAAATGCCTATACTATACTTCCATAGGACATTGGAGTACAAGGAACAAAAAAGAAATATTTTAAATTTAATTTATCAGACCATGTATATATCACAACAGATTTCCTTTCACTTCACTTAAAAAGTAGATGAGACATATCTGTCTTTTACCATCAGTAGCCAATGAACAGTAGTAAAACTGAGCATTTCCAAAGTGGAATTAACCACTTGGCTGGACATCTTCATCTACATTTCAATAATGTAACACAATAACTTAATCTACTATCCTGGTAGTATAATTCAATGACACACACCACAAACCTACTTTACCTGATATTCTGATTTCAGTGTATCATTCACTGTAACTGTGTCACTACAGAACAAAGTTGTTATGTAGCTTTACCTCAGCAGTGATGTTTCCAATATAATTACACTATTATTTGCACTGGGGATTTAACATGATCCATCTGGTATCTGGCACCACATGTGGTCCCACAGACACAGTAATCCATAGGAGGAAGTCAGACTAAGGGGAGTCATATACCTCCCTACACACATACACATGATCAATAAATACAGTACACAAGCTGTGATCCTTGGCTGGAAGCCTAGGTTCACTGGACACACTATCTATCTAGCCATAGAAAATGATACCTAAATAATTCATGAATATTAAGTTAATTTTTATTCCAAATGTATTTGCCTGTAAAACAAATATAGGTACTTCAAAATGTGGACTCAAATCTGGCATTACTCATAGTGAAGCCATGATGATTTACAGAGCAGCTGTACAAAAAATTGATAGTCGAGTGTGCAGAATTTCATACTTGATCACTTTTCGATGTGATGCACGGCTGAATATACACGCTGTATATTCATCAAACATTCACACCACTCCTTCTAATATACATGATCACACTTTATCCTGTTCTTACGTATGCACAAACATGTATACCTGAAGAATCTCTGTATACACGTGTCCTTCACCAAAACATACATGATTGTTGGTTACCATTCAGATATTTCTACATGATGTAAGATGTATACGTTAAGCACAATTTCTTGAAGTGTAATTGCCATGGGTACGATAATATACACTTTAATCAGAATACACAGTAGACCATCCCAGAGTATTTATAGGTAGACACTGTAGTACATAATAAATACAAATCCTCTTGCACACTTGGAACTATACCTCCTTAGCTATAGAGAACTGATACACACATTTTCTCTTACATACGTTTGTATCCACCACAAGAGAAATCATCCACACCAATCCAAGTCCCCTAGACTGGAGATTCCTCAGCACATCACCCTTGTACTTGGGACTGATGAGCTGCTGCTGTTCCTCCTGCCAGTCCGCCAGCCAACTGGAGATATTGGAGTGTGTGTGTGTGTGTGTGTAACAGTAGGCTTACTCACTCAGCCAATCTCTTACTCACAGATGCCAGGATCAGCATAAATACATGTAGGTCTTATCTAGTGAGCTACCTCTTCAACAACTGATGTATTCCAGTACACCAAAAAGTTAATACCATAGACAGCCTCATTACACAAGCTAACGAAGATAATAGTCACTTTATATGAAAGATAACTATATCAGTATTCAATATACACAGCCGAGTGTGAGGATCACTTTGATCCAGACAGCTGCATACACTGAAAAAACACAACGCTGCATTAAAATTTTATAACAACACTTGTAGAATGATGAATAATACCTAGAAAACAACGTTTGTTACAAATGATGACTTATGGAGTGGGCTTCACAATTATAATACTATGTGCATGTATACTCAGCATATAGAGGTAAACTCACAGACCCAAATTTAAAACAAAACATTTTAACACATCTACTTATTCCAAATGCTGTCATTTATGGCAACACACCTGAACTTGCAACAGACAAAATTAACCAAATTATCAAAAACTGTTTCTGAATTGCAAAATTAAATGTCAATTATCAAGTTTCATTTTGAATATGCAATTTTGTGAAATTTAAGATTTACATTTCCATACATCAATTAAAACTGAATGCTAAATTTGGTTAGGTAATTGATTGAAGTTTGTGTCTATGAAGAATGCCCATCCATATTTGTCATACCAGTCAAAAGAATCAAGAATATGAATTATATCATTCTTTGATAAAAAAACTTGTCTACTTTAATTTACAAAACAGATACAATTTACCGGTAATAAACCTGGAAATTACACTAGCTCTTAATTATAGCCTTAAGACAGCATCACAGTGCGTTGTCTAAACTACTTCCATATACTCTAGAACAGTATGTAAATATGATATATCCCTACTGTGTAATTGGTGTACATGTGGACTAGAAAGTGATAACAGATTGGGGTGACTGGATGGCATTTGGTACTGTATATAGATTATGACTTTGATAGAGCCATGAGTCAAGTCACCTCACGGAAATGACAAAGGATCTATTAATACTTTACAAAGATATACTGAAACACTATCGTAGCATGAAAGTTCAAACCAATTTGTGTTGTATAGTATATATCATGATAAACAGACATATTTAAAGCACCTGAAATAACAGAGAAGGACATTCATTTTACTGCTTACAGCAATGTATGTAGATCTATACAGACAAATTTTATTCTGCATGCTTTAATTAAATACAAATTTGCATTCAAATAATAACACTAAATGTGTTACAGCTTTGTTTCGTTACTGTCAGAAATTTTTGTGTTCACTAAGTGCGTTAACCAAATCAAGTACTATGTATAAGTAATAGAAGAGACACTAACATATAAGTGTTGTGCAGTGTGCCCATAGGCTAGTCTAGATCCAGTGGACTGTTAATTACAGGTAGATGCTTGGCAATAGTCTCACTCTGTGTTACCTGATTTTTGTAAGAGTCTATAATACACATGTAACACACCAAAGCGGCTATTCACAAAATGTCTGGATTACCTGTGTACTGAATGAAGGTTATGTTGAGGTTGAAAGGAGTAAATTGGAGGAAGGGGTGCAAGGGGAGTAAGATAAACAAGTAAAGCATTATACATAATGCAAAACTGATGAAGGTTTAGTAAAATTAACAATACACAATCAGGATTGCAGAACACAACGATAAAATATACACTTATAAATTCATCGTAAACCTAAAACCCTGCTTGTTTTGGGAATCATCAAATTTAAAAGCCATTTTCATATGGTATGAGAAATGTATTAATAGACAAAATATGGGATGTCATAAAGCAAAACCAGCAACATCTCTATCATTTATTTCTGAAGAAATTCTTGGTCAGGACCATGTTCAGGGAGAATTTTAATGCTTTGAAAAATGTTAAATTTAAATAAGATTTTCAGTAAAAGCAAGTGAAAGAATCCACCCCCCACCATTCCAAATTTACCCATGCATTTGATATCATTATGGAAAGTATCCTATACAAGTCAAACTACTCCACTTTTCCTACAAATCCCTGACATCAAATACACAGCATTATCACTCATTTTGGGGTATGTTACAATGCTAGAAATATGCAGTGTATCCTGATATACTACACTATATACTTCAATGAAGTACAGAAAACAACTTAATACCACGCCCATATAAATCGTTCAACAGCTGCACACTTACACATTCCTACTCAAATGATTCACTTCAGAAATGAGGCAATATTTTAATACTTTAGAAGCTTATTATTTACCAGATAGATACATTTTCTTGAATATCAACTCTAATGTGTTACAACATAAACAAATACAGAACTTCTGTATCTACATAATTTAATTTATCTTAAGCTATTATCATTTAATTTGGTAACACTAACATATATCATCAGCAAATAGTTTAGCACAGAAAACTGTAGCAGTCAACAGATATGGGAAATTCAGACCAAAGTTGTCATATGTACATGCTAATAAATGAAGTTCTTTTAACTAGAGATTACTTTCTTGATAAGGATTCTGGAAAGTCATTTATTTCTGAATAATATGTGTTCATGCATACCAATGCATTTGAAAGTTGGAGGTTGACAGGTAGCAGTACACAAGTGTGTGCACTGAGGAATCTGTCACATAGGACATGATTACACATTGTTTTGTACAAGTAAACATATCTATCCTAAGTGCTATGAATACAATATTTATGACATCAGCATCACCACTGTCTGAGAGTCCCATCAGAAGCACTTGTATGAATCATACAGACAATAGCAAGTAACGCTTAAAAACACCGTGGTAAACTGTATATTTTCCTCGCAAAAATTAACAGAAAACAATGCTAATGTATGTTCAAATATTTGTTTCGCTAATAACTACATTCGAGTAAATGACGCGGTATCGCGTACCGTGGATGGGATCGATGGAATGAAACGTGTTGAATTGTTGATGTTTTGTATGCTTGACTGAACAGGTGAGAAACCTGAAGATCTGACGCAATTCGTATCCACACAATAGTGTACAATTTCCTGTTCGTCAGTATATTATTCTCCGTCTCGTCTAGAAGCTTTGTATAACATCCAACTCAATATATGCATGATATCCTTCTAGCCAATCGACCAAATTACCAATAACATCCCCGCCATATTGGAAATGGTGCCGCTGTCCAATGCATAATCCCAGATCGTCCACGAAAAAAAATCTCCGACACTATTTGCACATAATTATAGATATACAAATGAACATACCTGTGCAGTTGGTTATTCCCACTAAATTTTGAACACTATTAATCGTTCCGTCGGAAGTATGCACTAAAGTGTTAAAGTGTCTACCGGTAGGCTGCTGAAGATTGCGGGAACCCGGCCCTGGCGAATAATCTATCCATATAAAAATAGTTCGTCATATTTGCAACATTTTAAGCGTAATTACCTTTTGTTTTTATTAAATTTTACCTATATAGCACTCTAAGCTGGTTAAGTGATACGACACAGAAATTTAAAAGGCTATCCAGATTAAATGAAATAATAGTAATTGATTCACTTCGAAAGCCGTCTGTTTACTATATGCGCAGGAATACGTAGTTATGATCTCATAGTATTATGGGATGGAGACCGTCGGCATACCGTAAAGCTCCTACAGGTTGTCCCGAAATGCGAAGTAGATATCATGTTGTGAACGCGTTGACATGAGCATGGCTAACTAACTCGCTAGATTACGACTGAATATGACTGTTTTCTGTTTCTTTTGTTTTTGGTCTACCTCCATTTTTTGTTGAAATCAAATACATCAGACTTTACGCTACACTTGGACTACATCAAGGCCTTGTATCTGAGTTAATTCATCAAACACACTGTATTATGACCTAGTATATTTCACGACGTTGGCCTTTGGTTTGTTTTCAAATGTATAGATAATGATATAAGTAATACAGACTCTAAAATATAAATAGTATCAATAGCAATGCATATTTGATTTAACTTCTTTCCAATATATCGATCTTGGCCTTCCTGAACTACTTAGCAGGTCCCTGGAGACATAAATGTGAAGATACAAGTTTGATTTGCAACATTGTCTGAGAAAACCCGCAATCACCAATCTCAGGAATATTTGAGAAATATCAAGCCTAAAAATATATAAATTTGTAATGGAAAAGGACCGGTACCAAAATGTGTACTGAGAACACAGTCTGTACCAGAGGCGTCTCTTGTTTGTACAGTTTGCAATTTTCAGATGAAATCCATTTCATGATAGTAAAATAAGTATTTATGTGATAATACTAATTCTTATGTTAATAACCGTAGCTACTATACAGCTGATAGGAATACATATTGACTAAATTAGATCATCTGACCACACAGGAAATTTTACGAGATTTATTTACTGAAATGTAGGCTATTTAAATTTGAATTCCAATCCATGTTGTTTGGAGTTATCTCCCTTCGACAAACGTTACGTAAACGTTTAATTTATATTAAATATTATAAAAAATCAAGAAATCAATGTTACCAGATTTCGCCATTAATCAATTCATTTTTATAAGTGTTTTGCAAGATGGTATATAATACTTTTCCACTCTATATAAAAACTGTATTGACATTTTGCAAATACAAACCGGCTAAAAAGCAGCTAACAGGTAAGATATTTATGTTTTCATATCTCCCAAATGATAAATCATAAACAAATTCTAACATTCAATCAGGTACAGATATACATAACATTGGAAATTTACTATCTAACATACATATACAACACATACAAGAATCTTATAAGGCACTGTACTGTTAGAGATGGCAATGACAAACATTCATTGTGTATACATTGAAATTCACTTGAATTTCAGTAAATCCTCGTTATTCTGACTTGCAACGTATTTTTCTTTAACACATTTCTTTAGAAACAACGAGTATGCTTGAAATGAGTCAAGAATGGAAAAGTTATTGAAAAAGTGGCCAAAATGCATTCAAACAGGTAATGTTTTGAGAAGCCAGTCGTTGGTTGCTTTCTCTTGGTGTGTTTAATACTCTATGACTTTAATCATTGATGATGTACATAATGTGAACTTATCTTGCTTTTAAACCATTGAGTCAATGCAATGAATCAACGTTAAAAACTCCAACTTGATCATATAAAGATATATTCACATATAATTTATATAAAGAACGGGGTTGTGGTGGTGGTGCAGTGGTAATGCATTGTCAGGATTTCTTGGTGCCGTAGATCGTGAGTTTGAGGCCAGTAGATAGTGAGTTAGAGGCCAGTAGATAGTGAGTTAGAGGCCAGTAGATAGTGAATTAGAGGCCAGAAGATCGTGAGTTAGAGGCCAGAAGATCGTGAGTTTGAGGCCATTAAATAGTGAGTTTGAGGCCAGTAGATAGTGAGTTAGAGGCCAGTAGATAGTGAGTTAGGGGCCAGTAGATAGTGAGTTAGAGGCCAGTAGATAGTGAATTAGAGGCCAGAAGATCGTGAGTTAGAGGCCAGAAGATCATGAGTTTGAGGCCAGTAGATCGTGAGTTAGAGGCCAGAAGATCGTGAGTTTGAGGCCAGTAAATAGTGAGTTTGAGGCCAGTAGATAGTAAGTTAGAGGCCAGAAGATCGTGAGTTTGAGGCCAGTAGATAGTGAGTTTGAGGTCTTCATCAGTTGTGTTAACTGCCCTCATATCTCAGTACATACCTCACTGCTAGATTAAGATATGTTTAACATTTAGGTGTGTCAGTGGAACTGACAAAACAATTTTTCCTGTCTGTGAAGTCTGTATTTGATCATATTAATGTGTTCTAATATCAGTAAATGTCACACATCTGTAACAAATAAGTTAAAATGGAGAGTTTGGCAGGAGAAGTAATAATAATGATAGAACATGTAACGTACGTGTATTTGTGTCTGATCCATACTTCTGCTTGAGCTATGGAAATAAGGTTATTAGTTACACTCTAGGTCAGATACTTAATGTACGTGTCAGCTATAAGAACTGATCGTTACATCCACGTGCATCGATGAATATTTTGGTATTACTATTTGTTTACGACATAATAAAGTTGAAGCATCATAAACTTAGAAACGGTTTCTTAATGTACGTATTTTGATAAGTTGTGGGTTTCATCGGCATCCATTCAAAATACACTTATGATAAAGGACAATAACTCTAACTAAAGTGTAGCGGGCTCTCACGTTGGTACACTGCATATCGTATCAGTATGACCAATATGTTTTTGTCATTTTTCGTTATCTTACTTAAAATGCAAACAATGCTACGCTTCTGACACGAAATTTGAACAAAGGACAATAATTGTAATTAAGTAGTCGCGAGCCTTGAATCTAATACACTACACATTGTTATTATGAGCAATGGATACACCAAACTGTATTATCGATGTGTTGGTCCAAGTAAAACTATGCTCCAGATATGAAATATCAAATACTGATAAACACATCAAGTTCATGATCATTGCTTAACTGTTATGCTCCGACCACAAAAAGGACGGACAGAAAGACGGACGGACAGAAAGATGGCCGGATTAAGCGGCAACTATATTCTCCATGTGTACTTTATGTTCATTTTCAAAGTTAGGAGAGAATTGGTCCTTATTGTATGAACTTCACGTTTTTGGAAGATTGTACTGATTTGATGTTATTTTATATCCAAATTGAACGACATATCCTTATCTAAGCAGTTTATATCAGTTAGTTTAAGAGTACTACTAATAAATAATATTTTTTATGAGTTCACAGTTGTGCACAAGTTCTTCACCCACTGCAATTTGGCCTGAATTGTAAAGAATTAATTGTCCGTGGCTTTGGATATCGAAAGCCTTTATCAATTGTACAGGTTCTGTACTATCGGCACCAGTTGACTAGAAAATCTATCACAACATGGACGTTTTCATGAATAGATGAAAAGTCAAACATCACAAACAACTTCATGATTATATTGAAAAATACGTATCCTTTCATTATGTGCTATTGAATGAAAAAACAAGCAAGAAACAAAACAAAATAAAAACAACAAAACAAAGCACACAAAAACCAAAACAAAGGATTAATATTACCACGCATTATAATGGAGGGAGTCAAAATTTTGAATATAGAACAGACTCATATTCAAGATATTTTATGTGTGTTTTATATAACCATTGTTTGATGTTGTATTTTGTGACAAAGAATTATAACTATTTCATACGTCCCTGATCTGAGGTACATTTGCGATTGGACACTATGGAAGGTAGTGGGCGCCTGCTAACTCGGACTCCTCCTCCCTAGTGTGTCATACCAGTACGCAGGATACACAGATTTATAGACAGGGAGGGATGATTTAGCAAAGGCATACTTAGATCTATAGTCAGGAAGATATTATTTAGAAAGGGATACTCAGATCTATAGGCAGGAAGGGATGATTTAGAAAGGGATACTCGGATCTATAGGCAGGGAGGGATGATTTAGAAAGGGATACTCGGATCTATAGGCAGGAAGGGATGATTTAGAAAGGGATACTTGGATTTATAGGTAGGAAGGGATGATTTAGAAAGGGATACTCGGATCTATAGACAGGGAGGGATGATTTAGAAAGGGATACTTGGATTTATAGGTAGGAAGGGATGATTTAGAAAGGGATACTCAGATCTATAGGCAGGGAGGGATGATTTAGAAAGGGATACTCGGATTTATAGGCAGGGAGGGATGATTTAGAAAGGGATACTCGGATTTATAGGCAGGGAGGGATGATTTAGAAAGGGATACTCGGATCTATAGGCAGGGAGGGATGATTTAGAAAGGGATACTCGGATCTATAGGCAGGGAGGGATGATTTAGAAAGGGATACTCGGATCTATAGGCAGGGAGGGATAATTTAGAAATGGATACTCAGATTTATAGACAGGGAGGGATGATTTAGAAAGGGATACCCAGATTTATAGACAGGGAGGGATGATTTAGAAAGGGATACTCGGATCTATAGGCAGGGAGGGATGATTTAGAAAGGGAAACTCAGATTTACAGGCAGGGAGGGATGATTTAGAAAGGGATACTCGGATCTATAGGCAGGAAGAGATTATTTAGAAAGGGATGCTCAGATCTATAGTCAGGAAGAGATTATTTAGAAAGGGATACTCAGATCTATAGGCAGGAAGGGATGATTTAGAAAGGGAAACTCGGATTTATAGGCAGGGAGGGATGATTTAGAAAGGGATGATTTATAGGCAAGGGATTTAGAAAGGGATACTCGGATTATAGGCAGGGAGGGATGATTTAGAAAGGGATACTCGGATCTATAGGCAGGGAGGGATGATTTAGAAAGGGATACTCGGATTTACAGGCAGGGAGGGATGATTTAGAAAGGGAAACTCGGATTTATAGACAG